TTCTCTTGTTTTATAACTATAATAATCATATAAAGATGTGCCTTTACCTCACTGGTTGTAGAAAAAGCTTCTTATATTCGTTAGCATAGCTAGCTAACCAGATGCTAATAACAACAAAGTTATTGACTGTTTGATCAGTATGACAGATGAACAGATCACCACTGGCCTTTCAACTAAAGACACAGCCACGCAAAAATTGCGGCATGTTTACGACTCCTTATGGCTACTGACATTTGTGAAGTCCCGGCCCGGAGCGGCGTTCTGGTGCTCTGCTCTCCGGCAGCTCTGCTCTAAACCCCTGTCGGACGAGACATATACCACGTGATGACACGTTAGGCTCGTGTTGTGTTCAAGGACCCAGACCTTGGTCAGGAAAAACAGGCACTCGCTTGTTTAATTATTTTGCGGTCGAGATTTCTTAATTTTTTTTTCTTTTTTGCGTGTGTTACCTCGAGGGCCGTATCAAAAATGTCTCGCGGGCCTTATACGGCCCGGGGGCCGGAGGTTCCCCAACCCTGCTTTAAAGCAACCCAACGGAAGTTTCATGTAAGTTGAGTTCTTTCACTCGTAGCTCGGGCTGTGGGGGTGCTAGAGACGGGAGTACGTTGATACGACCTTCCTAGCCAGAGTTATGGCCGCATTTTACAATAAACTTCCGTTGGGTCGCTTAAAAATAAATATCGCAAATCGCAATATTTGTCAGAAAAATCGCAATTAGATTTTTCCCAAAATTGTGCAGCCCTACGTCCTGGACGATTATGGAGTGAGAGTGTGTTGGCTAACCCTAACCCTAGCCGGACAGGGGATCGTGTCCGTCTCTGTGGCTTCAGGCTTGATCGCCGTTCAAATGACAGTTTTAATGATCTCAATGGGAATGGTTAGCGTTTCATATGCACGCAAATAAAATAAAATATAAGCCAACAGAATATAAATGAAGTGCAATACTGTCTGAATCCTGACTAGACAGCTTTAGAGCATGTCTTTCACATCAGTTTTTTTTTAGTTTTTTTATCACGATAGATACGATATCTCTGAAAAAGCATATCGTGGAGACCTAATATCGTCACGACGATATATATCGTCATATCGCCCACCCCTACTCCTGGTGCTGCAGAGATTTCATGAAGTGAAGGAGGTTTTTCTTCTATAAAGCAGCTGTGGGCAGCAGATACTGTGAGAGTCACAGACATGAATACATAGGTCAAGGCAGACTGGTTCACAGACTCTCCTGTTTTGCCGATCCGGTGCTTGAACAAATAACTCTACACCCCTGGCCGAAATGTCCCTAAAATGAAGTCCGAGTTTGAAATATATCTCAAATAATGTATGTATTTCCCCACATAAACATAACAGTCTGCAATGAAACGGCTGTCTCCTGTGCACTCCACTTCCTACTTTCTCCTTTCTCTCTATTTTTTTTCTTTCATTGCCCTCTAGGGGCTTCGTACAATACAAATGCAAATATTTTATTTTAAAAAGTAAAGTCCCATCGAATCACAAAATATGCGAGTCAAGTCATGTGACTCGAGTCCACCTCTGGTATATACTTTGGTTAGAATATTGCTTTATTACTGTATCAAATATAATACACACAAACAGTTGATAAGTAGTATTTTGTTATCTCGAGGTTTATATTAAGTGAGTTTTTATTGTGTTAACTTGTGTATTTATGCTTTTTAGATTGACTTTCTCTGTCCGTCTGTTCTAGAAACCGTAAGGAAGAGAGAGACGTCACAGCTGTCATCAATGTGACAAATCTTTTTCAACATCTGGAGATTTAAAGATCCACCTGCTTATTCACACAGGAGAAAAATCGTACAGCTGTGAAGAGTGTTGGAAAACTTTCACTACATCAAGTGCTCTCAAATCACATCGACGTATTCATACTGGAGAAAAACCTTACAGCTGTGAAGAGTGTGGGACAACTTTCACTCAATCAAGTGCTATCAAAAGACATCAACGTATTCATACTGGAGAAAAACCTTACAGCTGTGAAGAGTGTGGGACAACTTTCACTAGATCAGGTGCTCTCAAATCACATCAATGTATTCATACTGGAGAAAAACCTTACAGCTGTGAAGAGTGTGGAACAACTTTCACTACATCAAGTGCTCTCAAAACACATCACCGTATTCACACTGGAGAAAAACCGTACTGGTGTGAAGAGTGTGGGACAACTTTCACTACATCAAGTGCTCTCAAAACACATCACTGTATTCACACTGGAGAAAAACCGTACTGGTGTGAAGAGTGTGGGAAAACGTTCACTACATCAGGTGCTCTCAAATCACATCATCATATTCACACTGGAGAAAAACCGTACTGGTGTGAAGAGTGTGGGAAAACGTTCACTAGATCAAGTCATCTCAAAAGACATCACCGTATTCACACTGGAGAAAAACCATACTGGTGTGAAGAGTGTGGGAAAACGTTCACTCAATCAGGTGCTCTCAAATCACATCATCATATTCACACTGGAGAAAAACCGTACAGCTGTGAAGAGTGTGGGACAACTTTCACTAAATCAAGTGCTCTCAAAACACATCAACTATTCACACGGGAGAAAAACCATACAGCTGTGAAGAGTGTGGGACAAATTTCACTACATCAGGTGCTCTCAAATCACATCAAAGTATTCACACGGGAGAAAAACCATACAGCTGTGAAGAGTGTGAGACAACTTTCACTACATCAAGTGCTCTCAAAACACATCACCGTATTCACACTGGAGAAAAACCGTACTGGTGTGAAGAGTGTGGGAAAACTTTCAATCAATCAAATAATCTCAAATCACATCTTCGTGTTCACTCAGGAGAAAACCCATAGTGGTTTTAACCTGTTAAGCCCGGGAGCCCCCGATGTCGGGGAGAAAAACGCGTCATTGCAGGAGACAGCAGAGTGTAGTTTTGTAGTGTGTTATTTTTTAAATAAATCTGCTCCTGTTGGAGACAAATGTATCCTATGTTTCCTAATTGTTATTGTGTAAGTAAACCTTCCTAGAAGTGTTAGTCGGGTGGTAAACATGTATGGACTGTGGCAAAGTCCACTGGCACACACACCATTTACAGAAAAAATAAATGTAATTTAAAAAATCTTTATAGAAACACTTGTATGTGGATGGAATGATTACCTATAGTGATAATAACATTATTTATGATGGTATGCAAATGTGCCAAAATGTGCCCAAAGGTCATTCCGCCTGGACTTGTTTTTGCTAAACCTCTCTAAAAAGGTCAAATTTCACTTGTTTTGCCTCAATCTTGATACAGGGTACTTATTATATGTTATACTCTGGATTCCTAAAGCTTTTAGTCTACCATACCATCATTCGAGTGTTTTTCGCTATAAGTAATGGGTTTTTTTTATAGGCGGAGGTAAGAATTTACCTTTTTTTACTATGTTCCATCTGAATTTACTCTGACACAGAATCATCTATATTGATTCTGACACTTCTACATCCAACTCACAGATGTAACCTTGCTTTGATAAAATAAACTATTCATATAACCCTTTTAGATATTGTAACCATGCAAGGAAAAAAACTTGAAGTGGTAACCTCTTACAAATACCTTGGTATCTGGCTTGATGACTGTCTTTCTTTTAAACTGCATGTAAATAACCTGCTTAAAAAACTGAGGGTTAGGCTAGGTTTTTTTTTATAGAAACAAGTCCTGTTTCTCTCTTGAGGCCAGGAAAAGGCTAGTCACTGTGACCTTTTTACCTGTGCTGGACTATGGTGATCTATTTTATATGAATGCGCCGGCCAATTACCTCACCAAGATAGATGCCGCCTATCATAGTGCACTAAGGTTTGTGACAGACTGTAAGACTTTGACTCATCATTGTACCCTGTATACAAGGGCAGGGTTGCTTTCACTTACTGTACGGCGGCTAAATCACTGGTATATTTTTATTTATAAAGCAATGTTAGGGAAACTTCCGTCTTACATCTGTTCCCTGATCTCACAGCGTATTGTAAATGGCTACTGCCTGAGATCTAAGGCTGTGGTTGTATTACATGTGCCAACTGCTAGGACTGTATTAGGAAATACAGCTTTTAGATGTGCAGCGCCGCTAGCATGGAACAGTCTACAAAAGGAATGGAAGCTAAGCAGTTTGATTCCATTTCATGTTTTTAAAGCTAGGATAGACGCTATACAATCAGAAAATATTGGTGTCTGTAAATGCTACTAGTATACAAACTGTAGTATCATATAATGTCCTTTGTTTTCTGTCATGTTTGTATTAATGTTTGGAACTAATTGAAGCAGGTCACCATTGTAAAAGAGGTCTATGATCTCAATGGGTTTTATCTGTATAAATAAAGGTTTTGAATTGAATTGAGAAGTTAAGTTAGTCATTTGTTTTGGGCATGTCATTTTCAAGCCTGAAACAGGCTCAGGGCTTAACAGGTTTATCACAGTTTACAATAAACAATTCCCATCTATTGGCCTTGTGTTGGGTAATCCTTTTTTCCATTACAGATGCCATCCCAACAGCGCCATCTGTTGACGTAACGTCAGAATTGACAGGCATAATGTTCACTGTGCCTTAAGTTTCGTTTTCTGGCTGTCCATCTGCCGACAGCTGTTTTTAACCAGCTGACATTATTGCAGCATTAAATCCAAGCCATTGTCCAATGCAGCTTATGATTCCAATATACAATCCAGTTTTAATGCTGCTCATACCCGGCCGCTTTCCCAGCCTCTTGGCCTCTCCTTTCGCCTCTTGATGAGCGCAGGTGGTGACAATCTCCAGCTGATTGTGGCGTGTTGTCCAGCTGATCCGGGATGATGGTGGCGGTTGTGAAGTAATCCAATTGTTTGTCCGGTGAAAATGCGATATGTTTCTTATTGTCCAGTTTCACTCATAGAGTACGATTCTACTTAATGTAATGGCAGTTTAAATGTTCCAGTGTCCTATATATTTTTGCCATTACTTCACAGGAGGGTTTAGAGTGATCCTGACAGACGCAAACATATGAAGTTCCGGTCTTTTGCTGCAGTTTTAGAATGATGTTTTATTGCTTTACATACCAAGGTTTAAGTACACGGTGTCAATAGTTGTAGTATGAGCATCTGCTGGGGCTGGGCTGGCCGTCTGGTAGAATCAGTATGCTCTTCGTCCTGTGTCCTCTTCCTCTCCTGTCACCTATGACCCCTTTTATACACCCCGCCACCAAGTGTTAAAAAATAATATTGCACTATACATATAAATAAGGTAAATTGAGACACCAACAACACCCATAAAATGGCTCCTACAAAGAGTGTGGGAAAACGTTTTCTTAAAGTATTCACCTTAAAGTCCATGAGCGAGTTTCACTGTTCACATGCTTCATGTATCTGGAACATATTTACGATGTTTTCAGTTTGATTCTATTCTCTTGTTGAAATGATCAGACTACCAAAAATAAAATGGCCTTGGAAACAGACTCGTAACCCTGCCTATTTGTTGTGTTTTGCAGCATATTATAAACATGTCATTCCCTTATCTTCAAATACCCCAGGTTGTGTAGTGATGTGTTTGAGGTGTACTGTCCACATCGCAGACCTGAAGTCGTGCAGTCAATGTATGCGAAGTGTACAGGACCTTGCAGTCATCTCTCAAAGATGGTGTGGCATATAGGGAGGTGCAATCTCCTGATGGTATAGACTGTACTATAGTGGACATCTGCAACCCTGTGAAAACAAGATAACATTACAACAACATAGGATAATAAATGTATACAACCCATGTCCAAATCTAACCACTGATATATTTAAAGAAATAGCAGAATATAAACATAGGAAGGAAGTTTGGTGTGGTGATTTCAATGCACACAACAGTCTATGGGGCAGCAACCATACAGACAGTAACGGAAACATAGTGGAAGAAATGCTGGAGGAAAGAACACTAGTATGCCTTAATGATGGACATGGCACAAGAGTAGATGTTCACAGGGGGAAAGTCTCATGCCTGGATCTGACATTAGTGTCAAACTGTTTGGTTCATGCAAATGGTTTGTTTTGAATAACTCCACTGTAGGAAGCGACCATTATCCAGTGCTTACTAAAATGAATAATAATGTATATATGCAGGAAGGAGGTGTAATAACCAGGTGGTGCTTTGCTAAAGCTGATTGGGGGAAATGTAGGATATAGTGTGAGGAGTCGGTCCACCTGCTAACATCAGAGGGAAGCATAGAGGTCATTACAAGCCACATAACGCAACATATACTAAATGCAGCAGAGAACAGTATACCCAAAGCAACAACCAAGGGTAGGAAGAAAGTGGTGCCATGGTGGAATGAGGAATGCAGCAGGGCTACTAAAGAGCGAAACCATGCATTTAGAGAATTAAAGAAACATGACACAAAATAATGTTATAGAGTATCAAAGGGAAAGGGCAGCTGCTCGAAGGACAGTAAAATACACACGAGAACATGGAGAGAATGGTGTTCTACCATTGGCAGAGGAGTAACATTAGGTGATGTCTGGTCCATGTTTCAGCAGATGAGTGGGAAAAGGAAATCCATTAAAATGCCAGCTTTGGTTGATGGGGAGAGGCTGGCAGTGACAGATAAAGAGAAGGCAGGTATGTTAGGAAGGACACTTGCAGCAGTACATAGTGGGGAGCATCTCAGTGATATCCATAGGCAGCAAAAACAGCAGTTACTAGCAGAGAATGAAAACATGAAGGAGAAGAGACAGGATAATAGGTCAGCTCTGGATGTGGAATTAGTAAGAGTGAGTAATGACGTGGGACAAACATTGAAAATGAAAGAGATAATGACAATAGTGTACTTTGACATTGAAAAGGCGTATGACTCTGTGTGGAGGGAGGGGTTACTGATCACTTTGATTGAATAGAATGGGTATTGGAGGGAGAATGTTCAATTGGGTAAGGGCCTTTTGAACAGACAGGACATTTAGAGGAAAGGTTGGAGCAGATATTTCCAATTATTTAGAAATAGAAAATGGTATTCCCCAAGGGAGTGCAGTCAGTCCAATATTATTTAACATCATGATTAATGACATATTGACATGCTTAGACACATGCATCCAATGGGCTCTACACGCAGATGTTGGGGATATGTGGATGAGGGGAAGACATGCCCCATAAGTAATGGAGAAGCTAGAGCGATTAAAAAAGTGGAGAGGTGGTCATATAACTGGGGATTCAAAATGTCAGAAAGCAAGTCATGCTACATGGTATTTACAAACAAACACAAGACTGATGGCCAACAGCTAACACTATATGATCGTCCAATGACAAAGGTGAATGAGTTCAAATACTGTGGTTTGATAGCAAATACACATGGAACATGCATATTAATCAAGTGGAAAACAAAATGCTAAAAAGTATTAAATGTATTGCGAGCTGTAGCTGGATGTAACTGGGGCGCAGACAAACAAGCATTAATAGACATTTACAGATTGCCTATAAAAACAACATTAAACATTAAATAATCAGTTGCATTAATTTTTTATGGCTTTATCTGCAGCTTTTCCAGAGTCATTTCTTATGATTACATTTATCCACAGGCCAACAACAGCTTCAACAAAACTATTTCCCTCAAAGAACAAACCAAACATGCCCTGTTGTCGTGAGTGAAAAAGTACAGAAGGAAACATCCATTAAACTCAGGTTGCTGCTCTGTGATGCTAGTTCAGATACTTAGCATCTCATCTTGGGTGCAAGTTCATCAATGTTTGGGCTCAGGCTCTGAGCGGAGGAGACCCTCAGGATGGAGTGAAGGTGTGCGTGCAATATACCGGCGGGCCAGATCCAGGGGCGCCGCCAGGGATTTTGGGCCCCATGGAAATATATCACATTGGGCTCCACCACCAGGCCCAGGCCACGCCAACCAAGCACAATGCTGGAACCACACCTCCAGAACCCAACCGACTCATTTATGCTTTAAATAACTCTACCTGTACAGGCTTGCATCTATCTTGTAGTCCAATACTAACTGCACACTATTTACTGACACTGAGCGGTGAACATATAACACTGTGCAGACGTGCAACATTCTTCTGCAGTAGAATTCACTATTTGATATAACACTAACAATCCTGACAATAGACCTCAATAGTCATCTTTTATGGAGTACATGCCTTTTTAATAACATTTTTGAATGGAACATTCAAAAATCTAAATAAATATAACTTTAATATACATGACCTCTTAAATTAAAATAAAGTGAACATTAACACCAATATTATCATTTATAAAATGCTATAAAAAAAAAAAACATAAGCAGCAGATTTTTTAAATTAAATATACATACCAACTACAAAATAAGCGGGTATAAGTGTAAACGGGCAAAACGGAAATGGAAATGAAAAGTATTTTTCTCATCATGCATCTTGTATGTAGTGATCCAATATCGTTACCATAGCCTTGCCCTTTAACAGTTATTACGAGCCCTGGCTCAGCCTTACTCACCAAGAGCCCAGCGCCTAGCCTTCTTACAGGCAAAGTCACTGATCAAGTCCTTGAAGTCCAGCTTTCTAGCCAACTGGCTTTCAATGGACAGCATGGCAAGACTGCACAGCCTTATGGGGGGACAGGGCTGTGGAGCCTAGAGATGGATCTGTTGGTCCTGGCACCAGGGGGAGGGACAACTGATTTAGTATGAATAGCTGCTAAAAATGTACCTGCATGTATTAAATGTCAGCTAAAAGAGGAGTGAAATTAAAAACCTCTGAATTTTCTGTGAAGATATTAACAGTACTTAAAGGGGAATTTGAGTACTTTATTTATGATTTAATTTCGTAATTTCGGAGAAACCAGCTCGAGTGCGCAAGAATTTGAAAATACACAACCGGAGAAAATCTGCCACTTCCTCACAGAGTGCACATGACCAATGAGGGCACGAGATAAGTTTGTGCACACGGCTTCCACAGATGACGTTTTTTTTAATGGATTTTTTGTCAAAGCACTTCAGATATTCATTGCTATCGGGATGTTAAGAGCATTCCATGGAATATAACAAAAAGTGTATCTCGAGCCGGTTTCTCAAACTTTCCCCACCAAAACATTAAAATTTAATTTACAATGGACTACGCTTAGCTAACAGACTAATTTCCACCACTCATGGACCACACTCACCTTTTCTTTTGAAAAACTGGGTGACATACTGTCGCCCTTTAGTCCTCTCTTTTTCTCTCCTTTCTTTTCTCTTTTGAAAGCCTGACTTTGTGAGTCGTTGAGACATTGTACACACGTAAGTACTAGCATCCCTGCTTCTATGGGATTAGTTTTGTATCATAAAGATAAAGCAACACTTTCCGCGGAGTACCACCTTGCCTTGTTAAAATGTGCTAGATAAAAAAACTTGATGACATAAATGTATTTATTTTTGCATTAGACTGAAGTTGTTGTGTTTTCATGGCTCCTTTATAACCGGCAGAGAACGCCTAATCAGATTAAAGGTCACAGGTTATAGGACCAACTTCATCACCATGCTATATTCTGACTGGGGGGCCGGTTATTTTCTGAGGGGGGCCCAATAAATGCAGGACGAAAAAGACAAAGACAGTATGAAGTAATTGCGCATAAGAAACAATGCATACAGTTATTCTTTCAGTACATATTTATTTCAGATACTTTTAGTTACAGTTTTTACGCTCTAATGGGTCCGACTAGAAAGATTGTTGTGGCTTCATTCCTTGTTTTTCTATCAAGCCACTAGACGCCTTAAACAGACACTTCTAACTCGTTGTCTTTCCTTTATATTACTTACAGTTGAAGAGTTACTCGGCCTCCGATGGTTTGGATGATGTTGCGATGTGTTTGATCAAAATAAAATAACAAACTTTTACACAAGCAACAAAGAAAAGAGGCCTTTACAATATTAAAAACAAAGAGGCAAAACTCAAATAACAAACAACGGTATTCGTTCTTCTTGATAAGGCTTCTATAACTTCATAACTTAAAGAGTACTTATACGATTTGTGTACGTGTATGGTTACAACTGTTCCTCGACGGCGTCTCTCCAACAGGTTGCCCATCACTGTGGCTTTAGTGCAGGCGCCGTGGGAATTGTAGTCCTTTATAGTGCGTTGACTACAGACGTCACAATTAGGTGACCTTTCTTATAAAATCAAAATACTGGCTCCAACAATGACAAATAACGTTTAATCATAAACTTTTCATTTCCAGGGGGGGGCCACAGGGGGTCCAAGGTCAGTATTAGGGGGGCACTGGCCCCCCTTAGAACCGCCCCTGATAAGAACACCATATATTCGGTCAATTGTGCAGCTGATATAACACAACACATTTGTTTTATTTCATTTGACAAGGTGGATAGAGTTGCTGCCAACATTTTTTGGGAGAAATTACCCCTTAAATTAGGACTTCTGGCGCATTTCCAGTGCAGCGCGGAGCTGTTTCAATGTTTTTCCCACGTCATTACTCACTCTTACTAATTCCACATCCAGAGCTGACCTATTATCCCGTCTCTTCTCCTTCACCTTTTCATTCTCTGCTAGTAAATGAAAGCTTTAGCGCAAGTTCAATAAGGAAGACCTAACTCGAGTCACTCACACGTCACTCTATGGCTCCCTTCCCCCCTCATTAAATATGAGGGCGTCACCCCTCAGCAGCCAATCGCTGCACATGCTAAATGCCTTAAATGCCTGCTCTTCCTCCCTGTCAGTTGTCATTGCAGATGATCACACGCAACCCGCCTCCACCCCTCTCGCCTCCTGTCTCCTTCAGGACAAAGCTAAACCTTCCTCCTTCAGACCGGTCTCACCTACTCATCACCACCACCAGTGTCTAGACCCCGGGGATTTCATCGGAGCGGTGCTTTCCCTCCTGAATGATTATCTTGCAAACCGGGGCCTAATCGCCAAACACCATTACATTCTCCTGTTGTATTATAATGGCAATCATTTCATTCATATGACGTGTAATCAATAAATATGTAATTCTTACATCACGTCTCTCCGGCCTATGGATATCACTGAGATGCTCCCCACTATGTACTGCTGCAAGTGTCCTTCCTAACATACCTGCCTTCTCTTTATCTGTCACTGCCAGCCTCTCCCCATCAACCAAAGCTGGCATTTTAATGGATTTCCTTTTCCCACTCATCTGCTGAAACATGGACCAGACATCACCTAATGTTACTCCTCTGCCAATGGTAGAACACAATTCTCTCCATGTTCTCTTGTGTGTGTATTTTACTGTCCTTCGAGCAGCTGCCCTTTTCCTTTGATACTCTATAACATTATTTTGTGTCATGTTTCTTTAATTCTCTAAATGCATCGTTTCACTCTTTAGTAGCCCTGCTGCATTCCTCATTCCACCATGGCACCACTTTCTTCCTACCCTTGGTTGTTGCTTTGGGTATACTGTTCTCTGCTGCATTTAGTATATGTTGCGTTATGTGGCTTGTAATGACCTCTATGCTTCCCTCTGATGTTAGCAGGTGGACCGACTCCTCACACCATATCCTACATTTCCCCCAATCAGCTTTAGCAAAGCACCACCTGGTTATTACACCTCCTTCCTGCATATATACATTAGTATTCATTTTAGGAAGCACTGGATAATGGTCACGTCTGTTGAGATCATAGTATAAAGTGAATACTTAAAAACGAAAGTTAGTTATAATCAATCACATTCTTGTATAAACCCATAATGAGAATGCTTCTTGACGGTTTTTTGAATATGTATGTATGCTTACAATTTTTTCTGTTGCTATTTGATAACTTTACGTTTTAAAAAGAGGGTGTTGTGAGTTTTCATAGTATGTTTAATACTTAAAACGAAAGTTAGTTATAATCAATTATATTTTTGTATAACCCACAATGAAAAATACTTCATATTTTAGGTTTTTCTATAGTTACAGTATAAACATAACCAAGTGGTTTGTTAAGTTGAGTGTACAGCCTAAAAAGAGTTATGGGTGTCTCTGAAGAGAGTAGGCCGTTTTCTCCCTCTCCTCTGGCAGCAGTACACAGGGAGGGGGGCTCCAAGCTTAAGGAGAAAAACATTAGAGGCCTAAAGGGGTCATGTCCTTTTTACACTAACATGGGAAGGTGTGTCTTATGCCATAAAGCTATGGAACATGTCGGGTCATGTTTAGCCCTGTACAGTAGAAGCCATGCCCAGTTTTTCACAAATTTGGGTGTGGAGGAGGCGTTTTGGAAAATTCTATCGGGGTTTTTGTGCATAAAGACAGGGGTTGAGAGTGAAAGCTTCTGAGCTGGATTAATAGCTCTCGGTAAGGTCCTCCCAGACGGGGTAAATATCTCTCGAATTTCTTGGTTGTTGGCTGAGTGGAATGATTTGATGAGAGATGTGTTTGT